CTCGGGCTCGGGCTTCGGGCTTTTTACCAGGGCCGGGCTCGGGCCCAAGTTATAGGCCCGTTGGTCGGGCTGGGCTCGGGCTCGGGCCTAGTATATTTTCATTAGTGACAAGTGAAAGCCCGGCCCGACCCGGCTCATGAACAGGTCTAGGTGTTGGTCATGCACTGAGCCCGGTTTTTATAGCTCTTCTTCTGTTGCTGTCTTTTGGGCCTCTTCTCTGGTGAACTAGCCCCGCCTTGTACTACTTTTTTATCTTTAGTTTTTTACCTCTTCTAAAAACTTGTCTAGATTGTAAAAATGTTAAATAAAATAAAAGAACCGGTCCCGGTTCTGGTCAGTTTGGTTTCACAGGGCATAAACGTAATAAAGTGGTTATTGGCCCCTGCAAAACTTGAACTAAAATGCAAAGAATCACTCTCTAACGCTCCTTCAAAATATCTTTAATAAACCCAAACCTTTTCAAGCCATTTTCACCAAACCCTACTTCTTCTACTCCTTATCTCAAATTTTTTGCTCCACAGCCTCCGCCACTGCTACCTTATGGGTGTCAATTGGACTGGATTTGGTCCAATCCAGTCCAGTCCAATGTGAATCTATTATAAATGGACTTGGTTCAATCCAGTCCAATGAATATTTTGGACTAGTCCAGAGACTGTCCAATCTGTTCAAATTCCTGTTAACTTAGATTGGTTTCAAATCAAACCTGGTTCATTGACACTTGTGTTCTTATCTTCTATTAATGGATCAAATATTGGCCCAATCCAATATAAATTCATTATAGATGGATCAGGTCTAATCCAATATATCATATTGGTCCATCCAATTTGTCCAAATTCAATATGTCATATTGGTCCGTCCAATCCATCCAATGGATTTCAATTTGGATGGAGTCTAACCCAAAACCAGTCCATTGACACCCCTACTCTACCTCTATCTGTGTATTTGACTCTATGGTGTGTGAAAGATGAGAGCCGTAGAAAGTCTAAATCAAAGCACTTATGGAATTAATGCAGATACATCAAATCTGAAGGTCTACAAGGAGTTCTCCCGCCGGAGTTGGCCCAGCTTCCCTACCTCCAAATAATGTAAGAGCTTCATCAGATGTCGCTTCGTTTTTTTTTAAAACATCTACTTATAGCATACTTAAGGAACGCAACTCCAAACCTATTAATTTGTACGTACAGTGATCTCAGCCGCAACTACCTAAGCGGTACAATACCTCCAGAATGGGGTGCAATGAAATTGACGAACATGTAAGTAGAAAGTAGTCCATTTTTAGCCCCATCTGAAGCTGCTATTTTTCTGGTCTGAAATCCCTTAGAATTGTTATATGCAGTTCTTTGATGGCGAACCGTTTGACGGGTCCAATCCCGAAGGAATTTGGAAACATCACCACTCTTGTTGACCTGTATGTTCTGGATTTTTGCTCTTTGAACTTCAATTTTTTGAATTATTTAAAAGTATTAATCCATTAAAGTTGAAATTAATTTTCAGGACCCTCGAAGTCAATAATCTCTCTGGAAATATTCCTAATGAGCTTGGAAAACTGATCAACCTACGGAAACTGTAAGGCCTTTTTGATAATGTCTTCTGTATTGGGTTTTAAACTTCTATGATTTTCTCCCATTTCTGTATGTGTAAAGGATTTTACCATATCAAAAGGCTTTTAATTATTTGTCTCTCTCTATATATATATACATGTGTTTTAAAGGGTACTTTCCTCAAATAATTTCACGGGGCCGTTTCCGGAGAGCCTCTCTAAGCTGGTCAGCTTGATGGACCTGTAAGTTTTTGTGCAATATAGTTTATCTGTTATGTTGTTTAAATCAGTATCCTATATTTTGGGACTAGTCTCAGTTCCCGAACTATAAAATGTGTCACTTTAGTACTTAAACTTTCAAAATATGTTAATTTAATACACTTAACCAGTTGTTAAGTGTAATGTGAAAAAACACAAATGCCCTTTAGATGTAATGATGAATAGTATTTTATTTTGAAAGATAATTTTGACATTTTCAAAAATTTTAAGTCACACATGGTGGCATATAATATGCATAACTGGGGAGTGATTAAGTACTAAATTGTCACGTTTTAGAAGTTTGGATACTGGATTGGCACATTTTAAAAATTTGGGGACCAAAGTGAAACTAGGCCGAAATACAGGATACTGATCTATAATTTTCCCTATTATTAACAAAGCCTCAGTCGATGCAGTCGGATAAGCGATAACAAGTTCACTGGAAGGATACCTAGTCTTATACAGAATTGGAAAAACCTTACAAGACTGTGAGAGATATTGATTTTGAATTTCGACTGCCTTTCAGAAGTAGAAATCTAGAGGCTTCTTAATGTCTGGCTTATTGTTTCACTTTAATGGCAGAAATATGCAGGCAAGTGGTTTTGAAGGGCCCATTCCATCGGAGATTTTTCTTTTGGAAAAGTTAACTGACCTGTGAGTAAAAAGCTAAGGCTTTTCTTTATTCATACTCGATCTTATGGTAGTTTTCTAGTAATTGAAACAATTTTCCTGTGGTTCACTCATGGTGGAATTTTCATATACAGAAGGATCAGTGATATAAATGGACCCGAAGCACCTTTTCCATTATTGAGTAACATGAGAAGCATGAAATATTTGTGAGTTGATTTGAATGGTCATACGTATTCATACATCTCTCAAAATTTATAGAAGTTAGGCTGTATTTATCATATTTGGTGGTTTGAATTGACATTAATCTGATTTCTCACTGTAGGATGTTAAGGAGTTGCAACATCAATGGAACTTTACCTGAGTATCTTGGTCAAATGACACAGATGAAAACCTTGTATCTCTCTCATGGCCACAACCACTCAATCTGCATATTTATTATGACTGGTGTGGAATAAAATGATTGATCCGTTAATAAAACAGTTATCAAATTCAGTTAATTCGATCTCAATGAGAGCAACACTTAGAAATTAATTTGGAATAATACAATGGAGATAGAAATAGAAATAGATTGGGAATTCAGGTGATGGGGATTTCTTAGGGAAGTGAAACCATTGGAAGTCTCATTTCACTGTCATGAATGTCTCTCTTCATCTTAAAATATAAATTCATTATTAAAAGGGGCATTTTTTTCCTGTCAAAGTATTAACAACTTTTCCCATGTGGAAAAGTTATTTATCCACCTGGGAGATGGGTATCACTTATTCTACTTAGGAAATAAATTTTCCTTAATCCCCACATAAATTTAAAAAATGAACATGGGTTTTTTGGTCAATGGAACTCACAATTCCATTGACCAAATGCCATAATCAATATTAAATATGGCATTTGAATTTAACTTTTATGGCCTTATCAGAACCCATAAGGCAAGTATCCGACTGCATTATACAGTACATACATTTAGGCCCTGTTCGCTTTTTAGTAAGTTATTTACCCAAGTAAATGCAGTTACTTGGGTAAGTGCAATTAGCCATATTCTTTTGTTTCTCATGTAAATAAAGCAATGACCATTTTAGCCATAAAAATCCATTATTAAAAGATGCATTTTTATCCCATTTAAGTGTTGACAACTTTTCCCCTAAGTGGGAAAGTTATTTACCCACCTAGGAGATGGGTATCACTTACCCGAATAAATGATACCTAGGAAAATAAACTTTCCTGGGTCCCCACATAAATCCGATAAAAGAGCATGAGGTTCTTGGTCAATGGGAACTTGACCAAACTTTTCCCCTCTCAAAATCCAAAAAAAAATAAAACGAACGGCCCCTTAAGATTATATTATATAATATAACTAAGAAATATAACAATATTTTTAGTAATAACAATTGTTGAGTGATGAAAACCTTTAGACATTAGGTTGTTTCAGGAAAAAATTCATTTTGGACTAAATCATTTCCTTCATTATACTCAAATTCATTGTTGTTTGCAGAGACCTTAGCTTTAACAAGTTGATTGGGGAAATTCCGAAGAACTTTACAAACTTATTAAAAAAAGTGGATTGCATGTAAGTAATCATATTTTGTGGGTTTAACTTTCTTCTAGAAGATTATCGCCTGCCTCTCCCATGAATCATGATGCTAAGGTACTGCTGGTGCAAGGCGCAAACCACATAATCTCATTAGTTTGGCTTATGTCTAGATTTCTAACTGGAAACCTGCTAAGTGGTCTTGTTCCTTCCTGGATGCTGGAAAAAGGAGATGCTAACATGTAAGGTTCTCTTCCCAATTTCTTGATAGTAATAGTATCATATATACTTGTTGCCTGTAAAAAATATAATTGAAATAAAATTGAATTACAAGTTATTAATAACTTACATAACACCATTTTTTGTAGTGTTTACCTCATAAAAAATGTTTGTTCTTTTCCACTTTAAAATACAGCGATCTCTCTTTCAACAATTTTACAACAAATAGTCAAGGGCAAGGTAGTTATTGCTCACAGAAAAAGTAAGAGAACTTTTGTGTGTAATTTAGTTACATCAATTTCTAGCTTGATGTGGTTATTATTTTGTTGCTAAGTTTAGCTTTTTTCTACTATTTCCTTAGGAGGAATTTGTTTCGGAGCTACTTTTTGGGAAAAAATTCGTAAGTTTAAGCTTTTATTTACTAGAGAATTAAATCATGGGTTTTAGAAATAGTGAAGAAATACTTGTGGATTGTCTATTTCATGTAGCTTAGCTTTTTATTAGCTAAAAAGAATTCATGTAGAATATCATGACACTGAGTTGTTTTTAACCTCATGATGATATAGAAGCGCAGCTGTTCTATGCCAGCAGGAACTTCCCTGTAAACGATGTAAGTATATGTTATTGAAATTAAAAAAAGTATTGATGCTTGCATTTATTGGCTCACAAATTTGTTATGTGATTTTAGTAAAACCTCCCTACCTTCTACCTGAAATGTTTTTGTATGATCAACAATTCAAAACAAGTTGGCATATAACTATATTTTCAGGTTGTTTATAGTTGAAACAAAAGGCCTATTTATAGAAACATTAAATTTACATTTCTTGCTCTTAACGGGGTGAAGACTAATCATTCTAGCTAAAGTGACTCTTATATATATTTATGTGACAAGACATATCTCTCACCAATTTTTATTGATCAACCCAAAAGGTTTCAAGTAAAAACAACAATAGTGCCTGATGGAGGGTGATTTGGCCCGACCCCATAGCACGGGTACACGTGGACGTGACCTTGTTCAAGCAGTGATTCAGCGTGACAGTGCAACAGATGCAGCCGCAACTCGGAGGGAAGGTCCCACCGAGTTCAGCTCGGCAACTGGGCAGATAAACTACTTGTCGGGAGCCACCTTACCTGCACCTCCTCCCCGGGGCTAAGGCACTTCGGGGTGCCCCGGAGCTCGGGGTACCCTGAACTTTCTTGATACCCGAGCTCCTCCTAATGGACCTCGGGCCACTCCCAAACAGGAACACACTGGCCCATCTCTAGACACCCAAAGGTGAAGACACCTCGGGCCAGACAGCTCGGCATAGCTTGCTACAGACAGCTCGCCGCTCACGGGACAGCCCGGCACAAGGTAACTCGTGGAAGGGTAGTTCGGCATATCACAGGAAGGCCTCCTGCCTGACCACCGTACCCGGCAGGTCTAGGACCACCGCCATGTCCCTTGCCCGAGAGCGTCGTGCCTGCCACCTTTAGAGAGCGTCGTACACCTGACAGGTACGAACCCAGCAGTGACGGCCCTGCGTGCGCCACCTCAACCCTGCCTATAACGGCTGTGGCAGGCTGACAGTGGCAGTTGTACCTACCCTATTAGAGGCCAGTGGGCCTGATGCAACGGAATTCTAGTATAAGGAGCCTATTCTCAGAAAACAGGTATCGTCTGGATTACTTGCGCGATCTCACTCTTAGCCTGTATCCTCTCCTTGCTTCCTACACAAAATACTAACTTAATCGTCGGAGTGTCCCCGCCGGGCAAACCCCCCGGGGATTCTTCTTCTTCTTCCTCATCTCATGTACCTTTCGGGAGCCACGCGAGTGCCAGCTAGGAGTGACCGAATTGCGCACCATCATTTGGCGCCGTCTGTGGGAACGCTTCTAAAATCCTTCCTCTAAACCATCTCAGTTCTTTCTTCTCTAAAAGACTCATCACTCATGGCTTCTTCGAGCAATATCGGATGCAACATGGAGATGGATAACGCCAGGGAACAACCCCAGGTTCCCACTGTCTGCATTGGGCAATTCACCATTCCTCTCTCGGTGGACGGGGTCCCTAGCCTGAACGTGCCACGAGCAACAACGCCTGTGGGTGTTCCCATTCCTTTCCCTGTTGAAACGACCTTTGCGGAACTGACTGTCGTCCCCCCGGCGGCCAGTCAGAACCAACTTGACGACCTGATGCAGTGCATGCGAACCATGCAAGCACAGGTGCAGCAGCTCCAGCAATACCAACTTTACCAGCACCAAGTGTTGCACCACGTCTCCCAGTTCCACTACCAGCAGCAATTCCCTCAACTGCCTCAATCTTAGCTCCAGCAGCCGCAGCTCCCTCCGCGGCACCCGGCCTCACAGCGAGGTAGGCCTCGCCACCAGGACGAACATCCTTCTCACCAAGGAGAAGCCTCCCAAAACCTCCCTAAGAGCCAGGCCTCCTCCCGCGGCAGACAAGAAAGGCCGGCCACCCCGGTCTCACCGCGGGCGTCCAGTTCGGGCAGACCTCAGCTCGCCAGGTCTACAACACCCCAGTAGTCGCAGTTCGAAGCCCCGCTCCTGGAGAACCGGTTCGAGGCCTTGGCCACGGACTCTAAGCAGAACCCCTCTGTCCGCAGCCATCACCAGCAACCAGAGCCGCTTCCTGCGCAGACGATCCCCGACAGTACGGAGGCGAGCAGCACCAACGCGGAGCCGACCAAGAGAGAAAGACGCCACCACTGAGCTTGCCGAACTACGTCCTACAGTCTGCCCGAGCTCAAAGGCCGAGAAGAGGTAAACTCGGGTGAAGTTAAAGTTCCCCTCCTTTCAATTCCCTCTCCCCTATCTCCCGAGCTCCTGGCAGTTCCAATGCCCAGAGACTTCAAACTCCCCCCTCTCGACAAATATGATGGGTCGTTCGACCCAAATGATCACGTGGATGCTTTCTAGTCACAGATGCACCTAGCAAGGGCCAGTGAGTCCTGCATGTGCGTGGCCTTCTCCACCACCTTCAGAGGAGTGGCGTGCACATGGTACCAGAACCTTGCACCCGGCTCGATAAGAAGCTGGGCACAGTTCGCACAAGCCTTCACGTCCCATTTCATCATGAGCAAGTGATGCCCGTGAACTAAGGAAAGCCTCCTCGGAATAGTTCAGAAAGAGGGTGAATCCATCCAAAGCTACATCAAGTGATTCAATGACGCGTGCATGCAGATACTGCGTCTAGACCCCGCGGTACAGCTCGCCATGGCCAAGAAGGGTGTGACCCATAAGGAGTTCAAGTGGCATATGGGTTTTGACCAGCCGGAGACCATTACTGCCTTCCTCAAGCTCGTGGACAAGTTCATAGTGACAGAGGAGGAAGTCAACCAGAAGGGCGAGGGCACGCCCGAAAAAAGAAAGAGAGAAGGGGAACCCTCCACCCAAGGGGATAGCCGAAAGAAGAAGGACTCAGCATGGGGGGCAAAGCCAACCCAGCCGTTTCGAGCTCCTACGGCGGACCGAGCCGATTACACCCCGCTGAATGCAAAGCGGGCCGAGATTCTAATGGCGATCAAGGATGCTCCGTACGTGAAGTGGCCACCTCACCTGAGGTGGAATCCCAATGAGAGAAATAAGAAACTTGTATTGTAGTTTTCACAGAGATCACGGTCATATTACCGAAAGTTGTAAAAACCTCCGCGATGTGATAGAGGAGCTCATCCGTCGCGGATATTTAAGGAACTTTGTACAAAGTAATAATAATAATAATAGGGCAGGTCGGCAAGGGGAGCACGGTAAGGATGCTCCCGAGTCCAGCAGCAGGCCGGTCGAACAGTCACAGAGGCAGCCTCCAGAAGAGAGGCCAGTGCAAGGCACCATCCATGTGATAGTGGGAGGTTCGGTCATCGCAGGTTGTACTTCAGTAGCGGGTCCAGACTTCAGTTCGTGAAGTTGCCCGAGAAGAACAGACTCCTCCAAAACGACTGAAGACTGAGGAACCAATTTTCTTCACAGAGGATGATGCGCGAGGGGTCCACTACCCCCACGATGACGCGCTTGTGATAAAGCTAAGGATCAACGACTTCGAAGTCAGGCGCGTACTTGTTGACTCAGGTAGCTCGGCGGATATTCTCTTCAAATCCACGTTCGACCAGCTTCAGTTGCAGGGAAGTGACTTGAAGCCTGCGAACACCCCTTTGGTGGGCTTTAGTGGAGAAGAAGTCAATCCCCTTGGGAAAGTGACAGTACCTGTGGAAGTCGGCACATTGCCCTATGCAGTCAGACTCAACCACGACTTCCCGGTAGTCGCGACCCCCTCCCCATACAATACCATAATAGGTTGGCCAATCACCCATGTCCTACGGGCAGTGGTATCCACTTATTATTTGGCAATGAAGTTCCCTACAGACTTCGGTGTGGGGGTAGCGCGGGGCAACCAGCTCGAGTCCCGCAAGTGCTATGTTGCCGCCCTGAAGGGAAAGACCAAGGTGGCCGATGACCTCGAATTAGACTGGCCTGTGGAGCAAGGCGAAGAACGAGCTGCACCCACGGAAGAAACAGTCGCAGTCTCGACTTCAGTAGCAAACCCAGCTCGGACGCTACAGATCGGTGCTTCCGTCCAAGAACCTCTACGATCCGAACTGGTAAGTTTCTTACTTCAAAATTTAGATATTTTTGCATGGTCTACGGCCGAGATGCCCGGTATTGACCCTAGCCTTATTACAAACTCAATACTGATCCTGTAGTTAGGCCCGTTAGACAGAAGAAACGCAACCTAGCCCCAGAGCGATGAAAAGCAGTCGACGAGGAGGTCGCAAAGCTCCCCGCAGCCGACTTCATAAGAGAAGTCCACTACCCGAGCTGGGTAGCCAACCCGGTTCTGGTGAAGAAGGCCAATGGCAAGTGGCGCATGTGTGTCGACTACACCGACCTAAACCGAGCCTGCCCAAAAGACTGCTTCCCCCTCCCCAGAATCAACTGCTTGGTGGACGCGACCTCGGGGCACGAGTTGCTAAGCTTCTTAGACGCCTATTCGGGCTACAACCAAATCAGGATGGACCCGGTCGATGAGGAAAAGACTGCCTTCATCACGGAATTCGGCCTATATTGTTACAAGGTTATGCCCTTCGGATTGAAAAATGCCGGGGCAACCTTTCAAAGGCTTGTAAATAAATTGTTTAAGCCATTGATTGGCAGAAAAGTAGAATGCTATATAGATGACATGGTTGCCAAAACCCAGTTCTCACATGAATTAATACAAGACATGCATTCTGTATTTCAAATTCTGAGACAATTTAACATGAAACTGAATCCAAACAAGTGTGTTTTTGGTGTTACCTCGGGCAAATTCCTAGGATACATCATTAACCGGCGTAGCATTGAGGCCAACCCGAATAAGATTAAGGCCATCTTAGATATGAGACCGCCCCGGAAGTTGAAGGAGGCCCAAAGACTGAATGGCCGCATAGCCGCCCTGAGCCGCTTTATGTCCAAGTCAGTGGACCACTGCCTGCCTTTCTTTAAAGCAATTAAAAGCAAGGGGTTCGAATGGACCCAAGACTACCAGCTCGCATTTGACGAGCTCAAGAAATACCTCGCTAGTATGCCGATCTTAACCCGGCCCGAGGAGGGCGATGTTTTAGAACTGTACCTCTCAAC